GAGTGACAAATGTTCTACTTCAGACAAAGTCCCATGATTATACAAGAAATCAAAACATATTTTGTTTGTGGGGAAGTATAAGCACATTTTTTGAATTTTCAACGATGAAATTAATTCTGAAACAAAGACGACTTTAGGTTTCATTTAAGACATAGACTTTGTGCAGGTGTGGAAGACATTTGCAACATTGCCAGTAAAACGAAAACAAAAATCAGAAGAATATTATTTGGTCAGCGTTTACACGATATTCCTAATATACATACAAAATTTGACATCAATCGGTCCAGTAGTTTCAGAGATTATCTATCTAATAAAAATTGATACAGACGACAAACAGACTGAAACGGAAGACCTACTTTTTCTTACTCTAGGGGTCATGAAACGTCGAAAAAACCTAAAAGTAGCGATTCGTCGGATTGACCCTATTACAGTACTTCCTTAGTTTACGCTCGGGAAGTAAAAACAGTTCATTAAGTCTGCAAAATAGTCTTCTCTTAGATAATCAACCATTAGTGACGAGTATGCTTTCTAAATTGAACGAAAGGGATCTAAGCCATAAAATTATCGAATAAAAAGTTTAAATATTTCGCACAGAAACACATATTTGTACATTCGTTCATCGCAAAAAGTAAATCAGTTCAAAATAATTTATCAATGTCCACAGGAAATGAGTAATCTTCCAGTATTAGGTCATTGGGACATTTGTACTAATTTTAGCACGAATCATAACTTTACATTATCCCCAGGATTTGAGAGATATTAGATAACTCCTTCTTAAGAAGATTGGTAAGACTAAATCATGTACTTTTTTAGAACTTGTGTCTAAGTAATTCTAAAGCATTTTACACAGAACTTCACTCTCGAAGACATCAAATATTTAATAATTTTGAGAAAATGTCGTCAGGTTTTTACTAACAATAATCACAACGTACGGCAAAATTTTTAACAATAGATGCGCTCTTTCCAATTAATCGATAAAGCAAATTGGTTACTGCAGTTTATTTTAACACCCTTTTTAGACATTTGTAATATCCCATTTCTCTAATCCCGAAGTCAGTGTTTATGTTTGAAATTTCGCATTTAATAGTCTAAACGTATTTTTTAAAATAAGTCTTATTTGTAAACTTATTTAGTACACTATTAAATACAAGAAAACGGGATATTTAAACAATTAAAATTTTGATTAGTGTTTTACCACAAACAGATATATGGAAACGAAAAACCTATACTTACGTATTCAAAGAACTATGAAAAACCAAGGAAAATGGAAAAGGGAACTTAATTAGTAATTTTAGTACTGTGTTTTGAGGGGACAAACTCATTCAAATCAAAGTAATTTCTATGTGACATTCTTCCGATGTATAAAGATAAACACTTGAACTGAAGCTTGTTATTAATGTTGAGAAGATATTTTTTCCCGTTGCTTATCTGCTTTAAATATATTTTACATAGTCCGTACTTGGGAGAGCAAATTCTTGGAGCAGGGGCTACGGGAGTGTTATTTATGCCGCTAGTTTTTGCTTTATAGGTCGAAATAACCTTCGTCTAATTTTTTTTATTTATAAAAATATAATATAAATCACTTTCTTCAAGAGTGAATGTAAAATGTTGCTACTTGTAATTTACAGGTTATTGTAAGCTGAGTTTTATTACTTATTTATATCTTCTATCTTAAAGCTTATTAGATTTGACGTAGTATGCATGCAGTGTACATTTCGTTTATTATCATTATTGCTGCTTTTTAAATCACCTAAGTGCACAGTTTTATAACAAAAATATTTATAGTGTCGTAATATAATGTTATATTAGCAGTTGAAAATAATCGGCATTTAATATTAATCTGAAACGACTATGACGGTCGATATGTCTAGCATGAACATGCATTGTTGCATGATAACATGTTACAATGAGTAGTAGTCGAGTCTGCTCGAAATCTGATCATACCCTTTCAGACCGACAAATCATTGCAAAAATCCTTTGTCTTAAAATCAATATTTACAAAGAATATGTGGGTGACCTACTCATTTATGACCTTTTCAGCGAAATTTATGTTCTATTACCATGTTTTGAGAAAAAAGGTTTGAAAGGTGTTCCGAATAAAACTGCATAACGTGGGAGGGAATGATTCAGGTTTTACACCTTAAATTCTCAGAAAAGAATGTTTTCTTGAATGAAAGAGTGAAGAGCATGCGCTTGAAGGAACTCGAACGTCGTCCTGACCGATTCACAGTTTCAGCCGGGGAGCTGAATTAGTCCTATGCTGATAAAGCTAAATATTCAGAGCAAACATAACCTAACATTCTCCAAAGACCTGAATTAGTGCAGTGTTTTCAGGACAGACAATATTATTTAGACGTGATTTTCAAGGTAAATCGATGTTGTTGACTGTATGTGCTGAAATCACTATTACATGCGCTGAATTATTTACAAAAAGCTCATGAACATCCTGCTGAAAACCGGCTTTCACCCATTTCAGCAACTGTAATGTAACCAGGACAAGCTTTTTTATGAGTTTTGTTTAAGCACGAAATTATTGCCGAAAATAATTCGGGAAAAATTCGACCAGAGCTTCTGAAATGTATAATAACAGCGAATCGATAGTGTGACGTAATTGTTAAGTTTATGAGTACAGGCTGCAGCAATAAAAATATATTGAGGGTATCAAAAGAAACTAACGGTTCTGTAGCATGCTGTCCAATAGATCATTTTTGTAAGACATTGGGCAAATTTTAAGAAATGTTTTTTTTTTAATTCATATTCAGTTAAGTAAGCTCCACCAATTAGTCTATGCCATCGTTTTATGCTACAAACTGCAGCAAAGATTATAAAATATACATGCGTAAAGAACATGTTTTTTTTTATTCTAAAACTTCAAAATCTAGCGTCTCTTCACATGTAATCGGATGTTTTAAATTAACAAAACAACGTCAAACTACACATTCAAAGTAAACATTTACGAGGAAGTCGAATAGTTGTAGAATAAAATATTACGTTTTTCGAGCATCACTGTTTATTTTTATACTGAGAATATTGCTTTCTAAAAGCAGTAATTCTTAAATCTCTGACATAAATTCGCTTAAAATATCTCCTCCTCGACGTTAATTAAAGTCTTTTTTCCTCACTTCATTTGACCCATTTTCGTACTGCAACCAACAATACTAGCGGTATCTTCATTAGTTTAAAATAACTTTATTAAATATTTAATAAGCAATTAATTTAGACTGCTAAAATTCACGTTAGAAAAACACAGCATTTTTACAGCTTCAAAGAAAATAAAATACATTTTTATCTTGTTTATATTATTCTGGTACATAAAAACACAGTTAATGCTCCAGCTATAAATGCCCCTCCTCACATATTCCCTAAACTATTTTTGTTTTATAATTTTCTACCGCAGTATGATTTTTATTATGGTGGTAGACGCCAATACATTTTTAAAAATAAAGACTACCGAGACTTCTTTTCCAAACAAAAAATATTTGACGTCACCAAAATGAATCATCGATTTTGTTCCACAATATACGGACACACAGTATGAAATTTACATATCAGCATCAAATATGGAAAACTTTTTTTCATTCAAAAGGTAAAAATCTGATATCTGAAACTTTTTGGAACAGTTTAAACATTTACAATTCATGCATAATTGAATTAAATATTTTCAGATTTAAAAGCTACAAATTGCAGTTTATTTGCTTCTGTATATTTTCGTTGTGCATAAACTCCAGTCCAAATCAATATACCCAGCTACAATACAAAGTTTGTATTCACAATGAATTGTGTACATTATTTTTTTCACAACTCCGTTTTCATAATTGAGATAACTTTATTCGATTTATTACGTTATTGTCTGTTTAATGATAAATGTATTTCTTTATGATGTCCTTTCGTTTGATTAATTGTTTTCCTTGCCGGAATAAAATATGATTAGTTCTTCTATACTTCACTAATTTATACTTTTCAAAGAAGGATGATAACATGACCCCAAATGTAATTACGTTTTTGAAGCAGCTAATAATATAACAAATTTTCTCTTTTGCCAACTGCTAATCAACTGCAGTTTGAGGCATACAATATTTCAACAAAAATCAATTTTATTTGTTGCCACAAATGCTCAATTCTACACCATTAACTACATAAAATTGGCCACTGTAAACTTAAACGTTTTGAATGAGTGACATCCACATAGAGCATATTGAGATATAATTGGAACAATTAAACTAATACCAAAAAGATGCTGCTAACATTTGACAAAGTTTAATAAGATTATGTGTATCTTATGACCGCTAAATTAATATAATCGTATAAAATCGTCTAAAAATGTTGATGGCCACAAGTCCTGTCAGCGATTGAAGAGCTTCTCATTCTTCTTAAAAGGATTTCTTAGTGCCGTCACATTCACGCATGAATACTTCTTCAGCAAGCATTTTTATAATAATCTAAAAGAATACTTTACTGTACGTAGAATGGCTTCTGTTTGTTAGCACAGTCTTACGATTTAAAACACAATTCTTCGAGATACAGTTTTTAAATATACTAATGCACATTCTGGTATGAAAGTTGTTGAAATTTCAGTTATCTCAGGTATCTAAATTTCTATAGCTAGCTTCTTAATAAATTATGTATTAACATGACAAGTTCAACCGAAAATAAATTAGTTTCAACTCACCTTAAAATATACAATATTTTTTTGTAAAAAATTGATATGTAACATTTGTGGTGTTTTGTAATTACATATCTAAAACAGGCTGTGAATGTTTTAAACAAGAAATGTAATTAAATTTTTTTTTTTAACTAAAGTTACGTGCTAATTTATGTAAATAATAAATATTACGGTTAGAATGGTAAATTAGTGTGACGATCATTTGTAAACATTCTTCATATTTTGACTACAAAAGCAATAATAATTATGAGACACTGAAAATTATGAATGTTATATTGATTGGAATGGAGTTTATTTTATCAGTTTTTCTTTAATTTATTAGAGATCAAAATTTCTGTTGGTATTTTTTAAGTTGTTGAAGTTATGCTCTCGTTGCATTTACATTTCTATTTGTGAATCAAAAATACAGTAAACAACACGATCATTTAGTAGCCAACGACTAAAAATGTTTCTTTTCGCTATATTCGAATTGTAACAAAACAAAAAGATTTTATTTGTTGTTGTTAAAATATATAGACATTTTTTTCTTTTTTTTTTCAACCACTACAGTCTAAGTCTACTTTCAACTTTGTCAAACGAACTATCTTTAAAGTGTACATGTTTAAATCTAAAAATACTGTGTAATAGCTACTTCGTTTTCCTTTAAGTTGAAAGGAATTTGTAGACTCGGTTATTTGCTCCTACAACATAACATATAAACAGAAGGAAGTATGTTAGGATTTCACTTACTACTAATAATTAACAGGAATGTTACGAACCGACTAAATTCCCTTGAATATGTTTCGTATTCTGTGTAGTTGTAGAGATTAACATTTTCCATAACTTATGCATAAAACACGTCCCTGTGATCTTAAATCAACACAACCAAGTTAAATTCCTGAAATGTTACCTACTTCTGTCACACATAAACGGGTCACTTTATATTTAGTCCCGTGCAGACATGAACGTTATGCTGTAAACATTTTGATTACTAATGCGGCTAATTTAATTAAATCTTCCGTCTCTCATGAGAAAACAATTTCCTCGGACTTTCTTGTAACTGGACGCACATGGCGGTGAACCTTTGGACAAATGCCAGTTGTTTGTCCGCTGAAAATAAATTCGATGGTAGTTTTCCAAAGTGAAATTTTTGCGTACTTATACAGTTATATGTATGTCTTCCCTGACCGAAACAATCTCATTTGAATATATAGACAGACCAGACTAATCAATATTTTCAGCATCAACTTTTCATACGTGTTGCACAAATTCGGCTTTAGTCCGTTAAACAGTTACTTTTGATCGTTTATGACTACGTACAGTTCTAAGAGCAAAAATGATTCAGCACATGCAATAACCATCTATTCCAGACTAGTTCATACTCAAAACTGCCAGTGTCCAACAGTATTAGTATTTTTTCCTACAAAGATAGTGTAAGTGTGAACAGTTCGAAATAATGAAACTTCAGCTGATTGTCGTCGAGACTGGAGAAAAGTGGCGCCGCGCACTTTTAAGGTGAGGATTTCTAAGTAGATAGCCATTTAAAAAGATTGTTATTTTATTTTGTTTTTAAATGCTAAATATTGATACATTAAAACTTAAAATAGATGTCATTTTCACGTATGTACATTACTAATCTAATTTTAATCAACTGATGCATGGATGTGACTTCGTCATCTGTTTGCGATTCAAGGTAATATAGCTAAAACACAAGGTCGTCAAAATTAGAGAAAAACAAAGGTGCGTAAGGAGCACGCATAAGACGCATGTCCTATAGATGCAAACATTTAATATTGCTGCAATTTTTTAAACCGATAACATATGATTCAAATTCAAAATTCGCCTTAGATGACAAATTCGTTGCGACAGATTCAACCTCTCTTCTGGATTGTGACTCATCTCGCATGATACGAATATGTAGAACACCGGAAAATTTTAGTTTCATTGTATGGTATGTTAGCTGTAGTTGATCATTTATCGTTAATATAAGTTTATAAACGACAATATGTATATTTTTTTACATTCGTGAATCCACCATTTTCACTGATATATACGTATATATCAACACTAGTTGCTTTTAAATAGGAAGTCAAGAATGTTGATCAACAATCAAGACAAAACCTACGTGTTACTAAATGTCCAAATAATCCAAGAAACTAAGTAGAAACAGAACTGATGATATTATTGATCAATTTGCAGATAAATAAAAAATTAATTAAAATAATAGTAAATCTTGACATGTTGCAGATTGCGCTCAATTTAATTAGTTTTTATTCAATGAGAGTATGGAATATTCAAGAGCTAAACAAAATTAAAACATAGGGCTTTTAAACCCAGGTTAACTTTGTAAAAACTTTACAGACGAAGATCGAAAACAAACAGTTCAACTTGTTACAAGAATAAAAAAGTAACCCCAGACAAATGGAATTTTATAAAAGTAAACAGCTTCTTTTGTCTAGCAACTTCAGTTCGTGACACCCTTATAGCTTACTGGCATGAGTCACAATATTTCCTAGATTTCAAGTATTAAAAGAATGAATGTGTATATTTTTAACCAAAAAAAAAAAAAACAGAAATAGAGATGATGCTGCTTTTTGTAAAAATATCGAAAAGATAATTTGACGTTCCACCAAAATTTAAGGTTCGAACTTCAATATGAAGGAATTAAGGACATTTTATCTTCGATATTATCTACGTTTATTTTATTTTTTTACTTATAATGTAGCTCTTAACAGATACTTCCAAATACTGTAATTTTACACCAAGCAAAAATATCTACCATAGTAAAAATCGCAATTGTCAAAAATTTGTAATTTTCCAGTTAAAGTACTTAATTTAAATTTCTAGATGTGAAAAGCAAAACTCTTTAACAAAATTGTTGTTGCATTGTGTTATTCAACTAAAAACTTTTGCATTAATTTTTATGTTGTATCGAAACACAACAATAAAACAGTAAGCATTGAAAGTAAGCCATACATCGCAACTTTGTTTTCTGCTGGCGATGTTAAAAGGTCTCATTTTGTAGTGTACTAAATTAAGCTTTTCCCTTCAAGCCAAAACCAACAGCGTTTACAGAATTTCAATATCTCTATCCGTTCTCACGATATAAAACCGCGGAATTTTAACTGGGACACCCTATAACTTTTTAAATATATATGAACTTCTCAACAATTAACTTAGGTATCATAATATCGGATATTCATTTGAAAAAGTCATCAAGTTGGCCTTGAGTTTTTGTAAGCTTGTGAAGTATGTCTACAATTAACCTAAAACAGTACAGATTAATAAAACACGTGCGTTTTTCTTCTATCAAAAAAGCAACGCCAACTTGATGACTTTTTCAATTGATTACCCTTAATCTACAGTTTACTTCTACTTACCATACGATGAAGAATATTTTTAGAAAAAAATCATTTCACCTTTCAAAAAATAAATATCAAAGCTGCAAGAAAACATAACTTTTAGTTTAGCATTACACTGAATTAACGATTATTTGCCAGATCCAACAGGACGTACAGTTTTGAGCTACCTTTAGACTTGACCCTGTTCCCGTTGTTCGATAGCGTATTCTATTATACAGCGTGGAAACTATTTATGGAATAAATTCAATACTAGTGGTATTTGCCGAAAACCGTGAAACAGTTCATCATTCCCGTTCGAGCTGTGACATCTAGAATAAAAAATGGAGTCGGATTCATAAACCACAAGTGTAGGAATATGTTATTTTTTTAAATTTTAACAATATTTGCTTCCCAAAATTTTAGGTGACTACATCACATTGTTAGTGGACTTGATTAGATAAATTCTGATTAGCGTTTACCATCTATATGATTTTCCTAAAATACGTACAAAATGTTGTAGTGAAATCTCTTATTGCCGAGTTTTGTTCTTCTTTATATGTTTAACATATATACAAATATATTTCGATTATAAATATATTATTTCCAGGGCTGGTCTTCTCCGTAAAGGGGCGGGTACAACAAAAATTTTGGGACCTTATTATTTTTTTTCAAGAGTCAAAATTATAACCTAACGCATATGTTCTGGTTATATTTATGTCAAGTTACATCGTTTTTATTTAAAATTAGTTCTCTTAATAAAATAATCTTTAATTCAATCTTCGTCAACATCGCACTATATGTAGAGATTTAGAAAATTTCTAAATCGTGTTTCTGTAAAGTTTTTATATCAGGAATATTTTGAAAAAGTACTGTATGGTTCAAATAAACATTTAACATCAGTCCACTAGTTTCGGAAATTATTTGTCCAATGATAACCGACACAGTAGACAGTCAAACGGAACCGGAAAACCAATTTTTTGTATTCTAAGGATCATGGAACGTCGGAACAACGTGAAAATAGCCATTAGCCGGATGGGTCCGTTTACAATACTTCTTTAGCTTACGCTCGGAAAGTAAAAAAAATAGAAATACATCAAAACTTGATAAAACCAAAATGTAACAAATCTTCAATTTTGGTATTATTTGAGAAATTTTTTCACGTTTGTGTGAGGTTTATATACAATATTGTTTGGTTAGATAAAATGCGCATTTCAAAAACTATTAAAGATACAGATATCATGTAGGATTTGTTTAAAATACTAAGAGTACTCTCCAAAACTAAAACAAAAAATATAACATTATATTAAAAAAGAATGAGTTTGACGTAATAGCTTAAAAATGGATGACGAACAACTGAAAAAGAGTGTAATTTAAAATAAAAATTGACTTCTTTCGACAAGTAACAATAGTTTTGCTATTACTTATATACCTACTGAATCTACTTCGTAAGTAGTTTCCAAAAAAATGTATATCTATATACTTGTCAAAAAAAAAAAATGGATGCCATAGTTTAGTCAAACATTTTGAAAAATGGCAAGTCCTTTTTTACTCATCTCTGAGTGCTTTTAAATAGTACAAAATTACAAGTTCTAGAACGCTACTTTTTTTACAGTTACTGGATATTTTTTATCAATCTTTTTTAAAGTTCAAATTTTGTTAAAGCCCCCTTATTTTTTTTTTTTTTTTCTTTTACGAAAACAACTATGTAATTTAAAACCATGGTAAAACACGTCACTCACAACATTACCACAATGACGTACTAATAAAAACCCGCCTACCAATTACTTCATATCATTTAGGTTTATGGCAGGAGATGTTAATCATATTATTAAATCGGTGAATGTACTATCAACATGCCTTAATTATTATTTATATTATGCTTTATGTTGTCTTATCAACATACGAACGACCAGTTGCGAGTTACAGTATTATTCAGAGTGTGTTAGTGATATCAACCCAAAATGTCCAAATACAAAATATTCCCCATTGAAGAGGAAGGGTGCGTACAATCCAAAATTTTGCACGTTTTGCAGGTTAAATTTACAAATGACGCAAGAGCCATTCACAGTTTATCAACTAACGTTACCCATTCCATGAAAGAATGTGTCACCAATAACACGGTCCCAAGTTCATTTCATGCAACTATACTATTGAAAATACTAAAATAATAAATTCATTATTTTGCCGACATTAGCAGCATGTGTTTCTTTAAAACATTAATACTGTATTCTGCTAAATACGGAGACAGACTGTACCCATTTTAAAACCGGATCGTCGTAATTAAATCAGAAAGTTGATTCGAAATTTAATGCGACATAAGTGTTAACAATTACAGAAACCATGTTCGTAGACATTAACAATTATGACTTGTTGTTATGAATCTCTACCAACAAATCGAAGTGGGGAATGCCGTGATGCTAACAAATCAGTTACAACAAAACATTTAACACACAATATCTCTTCGCCAGTAGTTTATAACGAACTGACGCAAAATCTAACGTAGTTTAAATTTAGTGAAAGTAGTCTTCTCGAGTACTGCAATTATTTTTCAATGATTATTACGTGTCTAAAAAGAATGTGGTAGGGTTCATGCATGACTCACATTAGTTATCCTCGTGAATTTCTGCCGAAGAGGTAAATTTTGTTCAGTTAAAGTACCACAGTGTTGGGATTACATGGTGATAAAGTGTACTGAGGTATGTATTAACTTTAGTTTGCTATTTTTATTTGTTTTAATTTTATCGTGAAGAGATTCACTTGAGTAAATAATCAGCTGAGCTGCGCAAAATTGTTCGACTAAGTATACTATAAAACAGAAGTCTAAACATGTTTATATGGTTTTCGACGGATACATAACCGATATTTATTTATGTTACACACGAGTTGATTTTTAATAACAAACCCATGAACCAATCAAATTAATTGGCTGTTACCTAACAAACAATAATTTTTGAGCACAGAAAATAATTTGTCAAAACATTTATAGAGTTGAATTATTGTTTGTATCTCGATTTTCATTCATTACAACCTAGTACGTAGCTACCTGTTCACTATTAATAAGCGTTATTTTTAAATTTCGACATAACAGCCGAAAATATATGAGTAAATAACTTTAAAATTAATAATTAGGTATTGAAATTTATTGTTTAATGTACCTAATAGTTTTCCGCCAAGCCTGCTAAAAAAATTAAACATGTGTTTACAGGTCATTAAAAATAACTATTCTTTTAGTTTTAGTTACACATTTATAGATTATATTTTGTGTATTGTAAAACGCATTTTTAAATCAGTCGCAAACTGCACATCCACAAAAATTTTGTTATGAGGGAGGGGACAGTAAAAAAAGTGAAAGAACTAGACGAAAATAAGTAGTGGACACACCTGCGCAAAGAAAGTAGTAAATGAATTTATAAAAGTTTTATCCTAGTTTTGTTTTTATATTGCTCAAGGTCATTTGTATAGGTAGTGTGCACACTTATTTTTAATAACAGATTGCTCTACATTTACATAACGTAGGTACTCATATTTAAAATTATATACAGCATGATTCACATAAGAATACGAACCCGACGTACTTTGCAGTAGCGGCTCGTGACCTTTTGCACTGAAGGGACACAATTGATTGATGAGTTAAATTGAAGATATTAATAAACGAAATTGGGTGACGGAAATACATAAATACAAAAATACATTCAATAAAAATAAAAAAGGATTTCTCCACATACCTTTTCGCCTTCGGTCAAAATTTTACGTTCATGGCATCCAAAATTTCATTTTGGACAGTTTTAGCGTTCCTTTAAAAACCGTTGCCATAAAATCAATCAGACCTGGAAATATACCTGGATTTTGTGATTCCCTACTTTCGTCATATCCACGCAAAGCAAATTCAAACATTCCACAAAATTTTATGCACATTATCAATCGGCGTAATATATGGCAATTTTTGTCGACCCTTGCGTTATGTGCCTGAATATTATTAATATAAGCGGTGTGTAGTTGTTTCCGAATGTCTGTATTACCGAGAAGATTATCCAAGAATATTTATCATACGTGTTAGCGCAGAATGAAAATTAAAACCCGGGATAGTAACTCAATCCTGCCGACCACTGTCGGAACGGGACCGCCAGTCCAGGTGAATCAAGCGGCTAGGACGTGAGGTTTCCATGGCAGCGGTGTAAACAGAACGTCTAAATCAGCCATGATTCGGTCTCTGTTCCCGGCTTTTATCGTCGGAAATAACATATCATATATCCAAGACACATCTTTAGATGTAAGTGGAAGTAAATTTTGATACATTTTATACAAGTGGAGTGAAATAAAAAAATTAGTTTTGATAATTATGACACAAATTTCCGGTTAATTTTTTTAATTGAAAATTACTATTTTGATATGTCCAGTGTGTTTGTAGACGTTGTAATTTTGGGGGGGCACGTGCTCTTGTGCCCCCGGCACCAGCCGCCCCTGGTAGATCTGATCCAGAAATAGGGTGGATCTGTCATTACCACTAACTTGATTACTGATTGAAAACAAAATAAAATTTGATCAGCGATCGTACTGTTATGTACATAGTCCTGTATATTATACATTTATTTAAAAAATATGAAACACCACGACGTCATCGACTTATTTTGAAATTACAAAATCCCATCGACGCATTCCTGGTGTGCTGATAAAAAAAGGCGTCCCTGAAATGATTCACGACTGTATTTTTTGTATGCAATTATCCATGCATAACAAAGATAAAGCAAAAGCAATATTTCTGCGACAATGTTGGCAGGTAACCTAAACTTTTTCAAGCGTCGTCATTACCTTAATGATTCGTAGTTTTGTATGAACGTATCAAAAACCGAGTCTTTTGAGCTAAACTCAGTTACTCAAAATAAGTTATTTTCTGTTTTTGAAAGTAGTTTAAACCAAGATGAAAAGACAATTTTCTGAGGAAACTTCTAATTTTTCAATACCAAGGGACGGTGCTTTATTGTTTCTACACCAGAACATTCAAAATGAAACAAAGTAAGTTAATTAAAAATATTTAATAGATAGGTATCACTTTACAAACAGAATTCAAGTTGATAAAAATTCATTATTTTCATGTTATTTAAGAACAACTGATAGAATCAAGTGGGCACTAATAAATATGGTTTACATCCATATTAACAACAATAACGATGATGATGCTGCTAGCTGCTACTGATAGTTCTAATGATGTAATTTTAAAACATGGTTAAGTCATATCGCATAAATTCTGGAACGTAGCGTACACTCGTAAATACCTACCTAATGTATTAGTTGACTTAGCTTCATTTTTATAGTGATCACGTTTAGCTATTCAACAGATTCTGAATGTTGAATAGCTGATGTTTACTAGTAGTAAGGTTTACACATATTATTTATTCTTTGTCTTGTAAATCTTTGCATTATCAAATCACGTTTCTATCATTGTTATCTAGTAAATTAAGTGTCGAACCATAAACCACCACTAGTCATTAATCGAAATACCTGTTAAACCAATAACTCAAAAAACATAAAATGAAATTTTTGTAGGTTTTCCCTGAACTGTTATCCACTACATTTTATGACCAATGCAGTAGTTAAAACTATATTTTACTCACAATTGGTGATTTGACTAATTTTATTAGGTTATTTACACGATTCGGACCATATATGTATATAAGCCATATGACGTCAAACATAATTTTATTACTTGAACTGTATGATACCGACATCTTTTTAAAAATATTTATTGAAATATGCGCACTTTTGTGTAGAAAAACTAAAATTAAAAAAATGGTCTATGTGTAATTTTATTTTTATATAATTTTCAAATTTGTCATTTCCAGGTCATTTGCAGCCAAGTATGTACACAATAAAATATTAATTTAATTGTTTTGCGACTTTGGTCTAATATAAAACAAAAAATCAAATTAGGGAACGGTATTCAGAAAATTAAAAAGTGTTACCACATACAAACAAATCTTTTTGAAACTCTGACACATGAATTTCACAAGCTTCACCCAGCATCTTTCCAGTTTTTGTTTTATTTTTGTATAATAACATATTTCTAGGTACCACTAACTATGGCAGCAACATTTGGTTTAAAGAAAAAACATAAAAAAATTGTTGTTTTAGTAAATAACCATACAATTAAATAACATGAAGGTGCTCTGAATTTCAGTAATTTGTCGTTATAAACACAAGAGATTGAAGAGGAGATAGGAAGGTGAAGATAGAAGACTATCTACACATAAAATTACGTATTATAAATCAAAGTCTCTCCATATTTTGAGACGTCAAAAAATTGCGTTCCAGATATTTCACCTGTTTCACTATTTTCAACGAGCCCATGTCAATAATGTGTTACAAAAATAAATTGTTGCAATTAAGCTAAAGAAAAATATTTGTAGTCGAGTAATAAACGTCAAAATACATTTAATGGGTACCTACAACCTTTATGTTACCACAATAGAAAATAATTAATAGAATACACACAGAAATAATTACAAGGGATATATTTGTATCGAAGTTGAGTATTTTCGATCTATTTTTGAAAATAAAAAAGTTGTTTGTATTCATTGCATTTGTTCAACTACGAATACAGATATCGTCACACTTATTAATGGACGTAGGAATAATGCTATAATTTACAAGCCAATAATGTATTCAAACCAATCCTTACGTTAACCGACGAACATGTGGGTTTGTTTGTAACGTTACACATTATTAAACACTGCCCGGAGAAGTGTGTTCAAATTAGTATCGACCAAACCTTACGAAAACCCTCACCACACTTTGTCCGAGTTGTCACACTGTGGCAATATTTCATTTTATTGAGAAACCTAATTTACTAAATGGCCTATAAAATATTAAGTACTAATAAAGTTCGATATACGGACAGGAAACAGCAGATAGGAATGTAAAGTTGTGTAAAATCAAACATCGATCAATCCTCATCAAAAATTTACTGTTTTGTTAGCTGGCAGATTGTCCCCACATTGTTCTTACTAGTCTAAGCTATTTAATCCCATTATGAGGTTTTTGTGTATAAAATGTCAACAATGGAGTGAGGAAATCGTACGTTGACATTTCACTGCAAGATCGATGAATACAACAAAACTTGCGTTTATTTTTAGTTGCCATCCGAATACGAAAACGTTAAAGTGAACTTTGACGGAATTACACCTAGCGTTGCTCGGGTGTTATGTTGAACGCCAACAATAATTATTGTTGCTTATTTTGTTTATCGCAAAGTCTAGCACTAATGAACAGTTTGACTAGTCAATCAGAAAAACAATAAAAATAAGGTCAAATGGTATCAAGAAGTTTTATATTATCTCGGTAGTCCACCGTCATTTTTATTTATGGAAACCACACATGAAGTGATTCATTTTAATCTCTTGGAATTCTCGAACCGTTTTTCAAAAATCACCAGTCATTGATAACATAATTTCTCCTTGGAATTATTAACAATTATAACATTATCATTTTCAATAAACCAATCACAATGCGTATGCTTTGGAAAAGCATAAAACAGACACAGGAATGTTCATTAAAAAACACTGTTTACTTGAATCATGTTATTTTCGCTCTCTTCGTCACCGCGCTATTCTAACCCTTGTTTGCTATTTAAAAATCAATTAAAATCATATCTGAATCCATGAAGTAACACAATATTAACAGAGTACTGATAAATCATGCGTTGTTTATGTTGTCACTGGATGTGGAAAAATAACTTCTTTTAACTATTACAGCCTTAAATTTTCCAGCAGATGTTGCGTAAGTGTCAATTAACGCGGCTGGCGCGGTTTTAGAAGCAGTAACAAAGTACCTAATTGCAAACTATCGAATGGTGTTAACAATAACCTAATGCTCATGTGCAAAAACGCTTAGGTCGATGTATAAGGAGAGCGACATTGTAATCACACTCATTATCTCTCGTCGGGTATCTCGTTAAAATATCTACAATACTTTCTTTGCAAAATGCAAATAAATCGAATATTGTAAATTTTAAAGGTGTGCAAGTGGACAATGGCAGTTCCTCATGGTGATTAGAAAAGTTGCATGATAACAGTTTATATAGGACGATGGGACTTGAAACAGTTTCCGCAACAGTGCACGAAAATGAAGCAAACGTCGAGAAAAAAACGGAAAAAGAAAATGCCACTGAAATTGTCATGAATGGCGGAGAGTGAGTAAAGATGCTTCGCAGAATAACAAATAAATTCTATATTCGATCTAATTTCACATCTAGTCGAACCATTTCACGCCCTTTTAACGCATCTCTTACTTATGCATTAATACTAAATTTCGTCTAGATTTCTAAATAAATCTTGAAATAGTCTTGTAACGACATTGTTGCACTGTATCACATGTTTGTTTTTTCAAATATTTATATTTTGTATAGCGGTATAGATAGTCTTCAAGGCTGCCCCACGACTAAATTCACAACAAAAAGCATTTTGTTTAAAAACGTACTTCTGTGGAGAAGTAGGTGGTATTAGATATTTATACATGGACTAATTTAATCTTGATCAGTTCAAGTTCAATAGTAAATCCAAGGCCACGTCTACAACAATTGGAATACTGTGTGTAATTTACCTACGTTAGTTGGATTTGTGTAATACTTGAAGGAGGAAACTATTGCCAAAATATAGTTTAATAATAAAAAAAAATATTATTTATAAGGTTATGTCTATTTAATATGGATATATGGATATGATATGTCCTTATAATTTTTAATTGGTAGAATAATTTTTAAACTAATTAACAAAATTGAGTCATTATATAATTACGTTCGTGAAAATTAATGTAAAAATAATACCACTACATGATTGTTGTTAAGGTAGATATGGGAAATATGACGAGGTCACGTATAATTATTCTGCTATGCGTACATTTAGCAAAAAGAGAGGTAACTTAATAATTACACTTGATAATGCACTGCTGCACAAACACGCATTGCATTTCAAATTATTATTCTACCTTTGGTATAAAACGATTTTTTTTTATCATTAGAAATTGTCATCGCGTTTATTTTTGTAAAACCACCAAAAAAACTTACAGGTTTATAAGACACTTGCATTGCAACGTATTCCCAGTTCATTTAAGATATTCATTTATTGCGTTTCGTTACGTCACACATTCTGTCAAATAATTAAGGTCAAATTCAATTGTTGATAATTATTTGATAGATCAATGGTTATTATTAAAGTAACCTTGATTCGCATTTCAACTGAATTACCAACTTTAGTAATAATACAATTCCGTTGGGTTCTGTCATTTAGTGGAACGAATATTGTGTTATACTTGCAAATAATTGCGCTGTAGGAATGAGCAAAATTCACCGGCTTGCGAAGTTCTTTGACATTTACTAACACCTTCGACGTTTGCACAGATAGAAAAACTCGCATAAAAAAAATTATTAACCCATTTCTGTGGAATCCAACCGATCTATTATCCATGACATAACTTTAATATTTCACAGTTACTGTACATTTATTATTAACAGTAATTGAACCGAGCGCTTTCCACTTTTTGTGTAAAAAATAATTATTGATTACATGCTGTACTTAAAAATTACTACACAATTTCGCATTAAGTACGTTATAAAATGTAAAAGTCCTCTTATGTATAAATTCGCGTACCTAAAATATACAGAATACTAAGTTTTAAACCAATTAAAAACACGAAACGGGGCATCTCTGAATCACATAGACATTTTTCTCCGTTTACGTAAGCTGATTATCTTTAAGGATTTATAAAAACTTCCTAAAAATCAATAATGCACCCTCAAGTCATAAACTTGCACAGATACTTTATTTACAACAAGATGTTTAAAACCAGTGTAGTTTACATTTGTAACCAACACATCAGTCACATCTTGGGTCATTGACAAAATGCATCTGACGATTTTTAGCAGTATACAGGATGATTATAAAAAGATCATACATCGATTGATAGCCACTTATACTTTCGTTTAGTTTAGGATAAAATTATCTAGATTCAAGAGTTACTGTAAATGCATCAGCCAACAATGCTACATATCCACCCCACCGCCAAGACCTCAATATTATCCTAAAATTTTATTAGGTACATCCTAAACGAAACAAGTATACCTGTCGCAAATGTCAATCATAATCTAACTATCTTAAGTCTGAAAGCGGCAAATTCCTACTAAAGTGGCAGTTACAAATTTTCCAAAATCAACTTGATCTACGATCTTTTATAATCACGCTGTATAATACCTAATAATTACATTTCATAACAATTTTAGTCTGTATACATTTACGTTTACAGTTTAGCGAAATTAATTCATCTTACAACCCAAAAGACGACGGATTAGCGAGAGTTTGCTGTAAATAAATAGCAAAGCGTTTCATCTTCTCTATTAAATTTATCATTTCGTCAGATTAGGAAAAATATGTTAGGATATATAATTCTGAAACTTTATGTTTGCGTTTACGCAACGTGCGGCTGAAAATGATCTTCCTCGAAGGTACAGAATCACCTCTGGAAACAAAGGCTTCATGCTTATCTCGTTTAAAACGTTAACAGGTTGTCAATAAATGTCACATGCAGTATTTAGAGTAAAGATAATTTTGGTCAAGATCACTTTCGTCTTGGTGTACATGATAAACAGGTTATAAATGAATAACAAGTGAGAAAGTCAATCACAGTGGAAGGTTGGAGCAAATGGTGTAGCCTAAACAATCAAAATAATTTGAACCATCCACCAATAAATTCCCACCGCTACGTACAAAGGAGTTCAGTATGTCGTCAGTAATAAACACTTAATTGGTAGCAAATCCACAAAGTTTGCACCACGAGTTTTCACCGACTGTTACGTATACACATACTTATTTCTCAGTGAACTATTTTTGCGAAATGATATCGAAGTTAGAACGTTTTGTTGCCTTATGCAATTGTATGGGAAAATAAACACAACAGTTATCTTATCACGTTAAAACAAAAAAAAAGTTGATTATTATCTGAACGCGATTTGATTCAAGTTTGTCGTTATTTACTAGATCAACACTTACCTGCATTGTTTGTACTGATAATTTTGTTTATTTCAATTATATGTTTTATCTGCACTGGTAGAATGAATTTAACTTATTGTATATTTTTGTAGGAAACGAGGTAAGAAAAGTGTTTTTTTTATGATTTTTTTATTATGTATTTTGTAAAGGGTGAGATACATACATAATCTTAAAATAATAAAATTAAAATAAAAAATAAAAATAATAAATATCTAATACCACTGTTCTAGCAATCTAATTGGTGTTGCCATGTGGCGAATTTAGACTGCGGCTCCGTAAAGTCGAGTTGAAATTGATCTCTAATCACCAAAATGCATGTCAACGAAAACGAGCTTTCAGATACAATAATCACCATGTAATCTCAATTCCATGGATTATGTGACGTAGTTTTACCGGTCTGCCTTACATTCTTATCCTTAACCGGTGATATTTTTTCGCAAACAGTGGTAAATCATCAGTATTTGTTAGTCAAGTTGCAGTAAGATTATTTATTGCAAGTGTCATAACACAGTACAATTATTTTTCACAAACTTTAAGAGGCACGTTTTAGGGATTCGAATTCTAAATGGGTGTCACTTTAGAATTTAAGTCTTTTCCACACTGCGCAAGTCTTGTTCGGTGTACCCACACATTTTCGGATGGTATTTTTACAACATTGTTTACTTCCAAGGTAACACTAACACGTCCTAAACAATGCTTCCGACTGAAATTGTGTAGCATTTAACCCCCAATTAAAGTAAGCTGTTGTAAAAATATCACTCGAAATTTATGAGTATGTGCATTACTCGAAACAAGATTGCATAGTGTGTGAACGACACTTTAAACGCTTAAGATGATGAAATGGACTCTATATTTTACGATGACAGTATTTATGAATTCTGTCGTGGCATAAAGAAAAAACTGCTAAAGATACTGAGCCAGTGACTGACGATATTTTCTGCCAGTTGTTACCCAAATTTCCCCTATTTGTTGTTGTTAATAATCACTATAATCAGATGTACCAACTAATGTCTCAAAATCGTTCTCTTATTTTGCTAGTGTCAATCCACATAGTTGGAAGTACCACAATGCAAATCTTTAATCTTCTATTTTTCAATAAAATCATTCCGGTTTCATCCACGGATTAACATCGTGTGGTACCTGAGTCTCTGACAATGTATTAAAGCCATCGAAATCACAATCCTGTACACCTGTAAAATATAAATAAACATACATAAATAACCATTAAGTATCGCTAACTTGTTACACAATAATAATCAATAGATATTAAATGATCATTATTTTGTCATCAGCTTGATATCAGTATTAGATTTGATAGATATTTAACTACATGATAAAATACTTATATGTTGTGTTTACAAATATACAGGATGACACAAAAGCTCTGGTACATCACAACATAGTTGACGGAGAACAGTTAGTAAAAATTTTATTATACGTAATACATATTAATTTAGGAAACTGCAAAAGCGATTTGAATTGTAACGTTAATAGAGACGTTTTAAGTTACTTAGAGCCCCTTCGGTGTCTCGCATTAACAGAGTAATTTGGAGTACTAAAAATGTCCTCTTTAATTCGCGTTATCGGTTATACTGAAAAAAATGGCATAAAGTATTTCAATATACATATACCCTGTTGTGTCCATGGTTTTAACGAAGCTTTTCCGAACTTAAGTTTAGACGATTGTGAAGAGCATAAACAAGAGTACCACAGCAGTCCGTCGTATGGTCTGTTTTTCGATGCCAAAACATCGAAACTCTAGACAGCAGAACAGCGTTCTTGTCTTGCCATTCAAGCAGTTTCTGAGAATAAAAGTGTGACGTGCACAGCAAGGCGACGTTCGGTTCGTTTTTCTGTTGCAGATGAAATATTTTCCTTAAATTGCGGATCTGTACTTCATCCTCCGTAAACATAACAATAACAGAACAAATTGACACCACTCGTCACAATGTAACTAAACCATCCTTCCGTACCTTCCTATATACCCGCATAATCGCAGCTCGCGTGGTGTTGTGAAATCAGAAACATGTCAAAATTTGTTTAGACATGTTCTTACAAGTCATAAAGTACGCAATTATTTAAGTATTGAACATGAATGCTGTAAACCAAAAAAAAAATGGTCCAAAGTTATTTAGTCAGAACTTCCCTC